CATAGGTGATTTAATTAACTATAGGGGCTTACCATGATAAGAATTCTAGAACCCAATAATAAAATGAACCACTTTAGTTCCTTTCTAATATATGGGAAAAATCTATAAACATAAACTTAGATTTAAAATATATTGTAATTTCATAATCAAAATGATAAATGAATATTATTTTGGTCCTTTATGATGAATTTAATATATATTATTATAATTATGAAAATAATTTCATTAATTTAGTTTCTCAATAAAATTATTCAGTGAATTTTCTTTTTATCCTTTGAGATGAATTGAATGTTACTTATGTTGTATTTGATTATGAAAATAAAATGAGTTTCTCTTTTGAAATTGATAATGAAACATTTATCTATTTTTTGAGATGGTATAATGTTGATATATGCAGATTTATAAAAGAAATATTTTTAAAGAAAATCTTGTGCAGCATGACATTAAATTTTTCCATAGACTGTCCAATTTTCTTGGATTTATTATATATTAAAGATATGATGGTACCTTCCTTAGTAAGACTAAATATATTTAGGGGATCTTAAAAAATTTTGATATGGAAGGTTCTAAAATCATAAATACACCAATGTGCTCGACCATCCAACTAGATAAAGATGTGCATAGAAAATCAAATTGTTAAAAGAAGTATATAAGAATAATATGCTACCTTTTTTTTTTACTACTAGTAGAATATATATCATATTTAGTTTTTTGTTTATGTGTTAGATTTTAAGAAGATATAAGAGAATACCATATGACTGTGATGAAAATAATCCTTAAATTTTTTATTGGCACCAAAAACTTAGGCATATATAATCATAAACAACACTACTTTTTACATACTAAGATATTTAGATTCAAACTTTGCAAGGTGTAGAGTAGATAAGAAAGTACATTTGATACACACAAATTTAAAGGATAATACTTAGTTTTTTGGTCAAGTAGAAAGCACAAATTCTTAGCCCTATCCACCATAGTTGTAGAATATATAGTTGTAAATAGTTATGTTGACCAAATTTTATGGTTAAAGTAATAAATTCATGACCTTAGACTATCTGTAGGCACTATCTTTATCATGTAGAATAACACTAGTGCAATATGTATTTCAAAAAATCCAATCCAACATTCCTAAAAAACATATTAATATAAGATATTATTTCATTAGGTATACAAAACATCAGCCACTAACTTCTTTACCAAATCCCTCAATTATGATACATTCAGCTCCCTTACGACTAGACTTGGTGTCATTAACATTCATGCTTAGGAAAGTTGGGGTAGTGGTAAGTTAAAGTTTGTTTGTGTGTTAGTTTATTTAATTTTATTTATGTAATAAATTTTTATTTTTGCCAAAATTATTTATTTTTATTAAGAATTATGATTGTTCGTGTTTATGCTCTTACTTATAGACTTCTCCCTCATATAACTCACGAAACTAAATCTTTTATCACTCATCATAATGTGTGATATGTGTATGATTTGACCATTTTCACCAATAATTGTCATATGAAAAATTCTAAAAAATTCATTATTGTTGAGTGTACTGTATGAATTAGTCATCATATTGTATGATACCTTTTGATTAATAATCTTACTAATGACTCCATGAGACTATTTATTTTTACACTGATCCTACTGGATGATCCCGAATCATACTATATGATTTTCCCATGGATTGTGCATTCCTGATGGGACATTTTGGATGGATCTAATCATATTGTATGAACAACCTATCATGTTTTAAGATTGACCCATGATATAAAAGAGAAGGAAAATCGTCCATTTTCTTCACACTTCAAATATCTAAACTCCTCCCCTTTTCTAGTTCAACTCCCTCACTAAGTTTCTATGTCTCTAATAAATGATCATGCAAATCTTCCCCAAAGTGTGGATGATAAGGTTTTGTGTGATAACGATGAGGATGCTTATGCAAGATACATAAGTGATTCTATTACTAATTCTAAAATCCTCAACCAAGCAACCCTTTCATATCATATACTAGAAGTCTTTGTCATCTTCACTCTTTAATTAATCATCTTTCTTACAATTCCATATCATACTAAGCTTCTTGTAGAAATTTTCAATAATCTTTGAATTACCTCTGATCTTAGCACATTATAATGTTAAGTCTGCCAATGCCAAGTAAACATCATATTAGATGATCCACGTGAGTACCATAACCTCTCATATGATGGTCTATCACCACACTTTATTTAAGGTTTCTTATATAACAATTTAACATCACTAAATACAATTATTAGGAGCTCCCCTTCAAATAAACATCAACCCTTTATGAGTTTTTTTGTCCTCAATGCATGTGTCATTGAGCACATACTTCAAAATATTGCCATACCTAATGCTACTGATTGAATTAATATCACTCCCCACTATCCTTAGTTACATACTACTATAACTAGCAAATAATTTAATGCTTTTGACATGATTATTAGAAATATTAGAAATCTCACATCCATTAGAAATCTGTGAGCTCAAAGAAAGAAAAACTTAGCTAAAGGATACATCATTTATTTTATACTAGTAAACAAATAAAACCTGACCTTTCTTGCATAACCAGTCCACCTTCCTTTATTCTTCATAGATCATTCCTTTTTTTTTTTGATGAAATGTAATTGCATTAAAATAAGAATAAAGAAAACCTTAGAACAAGCTACTCAAGATAAACCTAAAGAGTCACATTCCTCCTTCAAGCATAACAAGAATGAAGGAGTAGTTTCTTCAAAGCTAATATGCTCCCAAACAAAAGAATTTTTTAAAGCCAAATTAGCACAAACATTCGCTAATTTGTTACAATCTCTTTTAGAAAAAGAAAACAAAACTTGATTGAAATCAAGAAGGAAACCAAAATTCTCATCAATGCACTTACTAACCTTCCAAGTTCTCATAGCCGATTGTAGAATTTTTATAATATTGAAGTTATCCCCTTCAATGATAATTCCTTGAGCTTCAATCATCCACTCCCAAATGATATTTTTCAAATAGAGAACCTCCATCAATTCAATTTGTGCAATGTCCCAATGAATAAGATTAGCTCCAAAAGCTATCAGAAATCTTCCTTTGTAATCCCTTGCCACAACTCCAAAACCAACCACATTATTTTTTAAGATAGAAGCATCTACATTTATTTTTATCCACCCAGGTGGAGGAGGATACCAAGAGCAAGACAGCTTTCGCTGGTTAGTATCCCAGTTTTTTGGAGTAGAGTTAATAAAATTACTTACAGTGGTTGTAGAAACAACATTTGCTGCCAAAGTATTAATCGAGTCTTCAATGCCATCATGAATCAATTTACATCTGCTTTTCCACACTAGCTAAGTAGTTGTGCAATACATATTAGCAATGAAAGAATCGTTTCCAATAAGCTTCTTTAAACCTTCCAAACATTCATGAAGATTAACAAAAAAAGGAACTTTGAATCCCCAGCTATTGAGAATAGAAATTATTGCTCGAAGCTTATCACATTTGCCTCCAATATGGCCTCCGTTCTCATCTTCTTCACAACCTCTCAGGCATCCTGAGAAATTACTCAATCTCCTTCTAAATAAAAAATCATTAGAAGGAATGACATCATTTAAATAAAAAATCATTAGAAATAATGGCATCATTGCAAACCCTCCACCAAAAATAGTTCAACATTCAGTCTCAGTTTTAAATTTTTCATCCAATTCCAGATAGAAATTCCTCCATTATGTTATGTCAATGCTTGAAATGCCAATGCAGCAATAGACTTTCTAGAAAATTTAGATTTAAGCTCCATAAGATCATACCTCCTTCCGGCATCAATGGGAATTTGAGTTATCAGGTCTACCTGCTGCTCCCCAAATATCAAATGGAGTTGATCGGTATTCCAATTTCCTTCCAAATTAAAAAGCTGAGTTTGAACTCATTTGGTTCCAAACAGTTAACATAAGTCAGCCACTTTGCTAAGCATTTGTCTATATTCCAACTATCAAACATCCGGTTAATTGAATTGCCATTAGAAACATTCCATCCAATAATGTTTCTAAGATAATAAACTCCCATGGTGATAATCTTCCAAGTCGTTGAGCAATCTTTTTTCATTGGTACCGTCCAAACATCTTCTCCATATTTTGCTCTCAGGATTTGATTCAGTAAAGCTGCAGGCTTCATAATGAAATTCCAAACCAATTTGGCCCGTAAAGGACCTACCTTGGAAACAGCTGAGAATAAGCCTCTACCACCTTTTTCCTTAGTCTTGCAAAGACTATCCCATGAAGCATAATGTAGACCTGCATTTACATCTTTCTTCTTCCACAAGAAGCTTCTACACATTTTGTCAAAATCTTTAAGAATACTCAAAGGAACAAGAGAAATAAAAGATAAGAACATTGGTAATGAGAGGAATGCATATTTGATGAGAACCAACTTCCCTTCCAAAGAGATGAAGTTTTGTCCCCAAATGTTTAATCTATTAGCTGCTACTTCTATAAGCTTAGAGAAATCCGAAGATACCAACCTCCTCATGGTCATCTTCACACCAAGGTAATTCATGTCCTTAACCATCTTGAATTTAAGAAGACTAGAGATTCTCTTCTTAATTCTATGGTTAGTATGCTTCACAAAAATAATCATGGATTTAGATTTGTTTACCTTCTGGCTTGTCCATAAACAATAGTTATTTATGATAGTTTTCAACTCCTTAATAACTTTAGTCTTGGCTTCTAAGAAGATTAAAATATCATCTGCATAAAATAAATGGGAAACTCTAGGAGACTTTGGAGTAATAGAGATCCCCACATCCCCTTTTCTACCATTTAATGCATAAGATAGAACTTGGGAACATAAAATAAATAAATAAAGTGATAAAGGGCATTCTTGCCTAAACCCACACCTCCATTCAATCCAATCAGATTTCCTCCCATTGATCAAAATGCAATATTTAGGATCTAAGATGCATTGCAAAAGAAGCTCCCTAAATTTGCTAGGAAAGTTTAAGTGAGAAAGCACTTGCCCAAAGCTTGTCATCCCATACTATCACAAGCTTGTTCCATGTCAAGCTTGATTGCCAGAAGACCTTTCTTTGCTTTAGAATACCAAAATTTAATGAAAACTTCTTGTGCCAACAGTACATCATCTGACAAGGAAGGCCCTTTGATAAAGGCACCTTGGTCCACCGAAATAATCTTGTGAATAACCTTCTCCAATCTACTCAAAAGCATCTTTGCAATAATTTTATAAATGGTCATACATAAGCTGATTGGCCGATAATTAGAGACCGCTTGAGGATTTTGAATATTGGGAATCAATACAATAAGAGTTTCTTTCCATGACTGGTGCATATCTCCAGCAGACAAGAACGGACTTACTGCTAGCCAAACATCATCAGCAATCCATTTCCAAAATATCTTTATGAAAGAAAAACTAATTCCGTCCAAACCAGGAGAAGTATTTCTCCCAGATTTTTCCACTATAACTTGAACCTCCTCCCTTGTGAAATCTGCATCCATAAATGATTGATCAATTTCGTTGATGGCTGTCGAAGGCTCAGGCCAGCCATCCAACATACACTGTCTATGCTGCCATTTTTGTTTGAAAAAGTCTGAAAAAACTTTCTAGATTTCATTGGCATTCTCCGTAGTACTACCTTTAGAATTCTTAATGTGACTAATCAAGTTAATATTTTTCCTGGCATTTAAAAATTCATGAAAAAAAACTAGAATTGCAATCACCTTCTTCCATCCATTTTGCTTTAGCTCTTTTCTTCCACCAGGTATTAAGCGTGCAAGAGTGACATTGAGCTCATTGATTTTGAATCTTAAAATCTGCAACTTTTCAAAAGAAATAATCGCTTCAACTTCCTCCAATTGGATTTCCTGTATTTCTACCTTCACCCTATACCGAAGAGACATAAGATTCTTGAACTTAGCTTTTCTCCAGAAAAAAAGAGCTCTCAAAGTTTCTTTTGAATTTTACATTAAGAGATGAAGCCGGATCAATCCCTGCATATTTACTCCAAGATTTCTGCACAATCGCCTCTGCTCCATGGTAAGTAGCCAAAACTTCTTCATAACGGATCTCTCTGCTATAAACTGCCATAGGATTGAAAATTTCCAATAAAATAGGACAAAGGTCCGATGCTATACGGGATAAATGTTTCACCAGTGCAAGATGGATAGAATTCAAAACTGTGGAATGGATAAGACATCTATCCAATTTCTCTAGAATCTGAGCCCCACCGAATTTATTATTGCACCAAGTAAATTTTGGCCCCATATACCCCACCTCATGAAGATCATTGTTGATCATGAAATTCTTCAAATCCTTAGCTCCTTGAGACAAGAAATTTTTTTTCCCACCTCTCTTTTCATCTTGACAAAGAACACAGTTGAAGTCCCCACCTATCACTGTAGGCAAGTCCTTCGAGCAATGTTTCTCTAAACTTTCCCAAAGAAGTTTCCTGTCAATGGCATTAGTGTTCGCATACACAGTTGTTACCTTCCATATTCCTATGGTAAAAACCTCCAGTTTCCCTAGTATCATTTGAGATGAAACTTCAACCATAGTGAAAGACAGCAAGTCTTTTCTCCATAGAACCATCAAACCTCCACATAAGCCTTCAGAGGGAACCAAAAAAGACTCACAGTTGTTACCAAGGAATTTTAGAATTTGAGAATTCTCCAAAGAATTCAACTTTGTTTCCATTAAACCAACAAAAAACACCTTGTGATCTTTAATCACCTCCTTTAGATGTAGAGCAGCCTCCACTTTCTTGGCTCCTCTACAATTCCAGAAAACTAGCAAATTCATTGCTTAAAGATGGGGGAAGGTCCCCCACTCTTTTTAGCTTTTCCTCCTTCCTTTTTCCTATCTCGTTCAATTATATTACCCAAACCAAGAGACTTAAGCTCTTTAATAAGCTTAACCTTCTTTCCAGAAGATAGACTTCCAACCACAGCCTTATTGGAATTTGAAACCTCCTTATCCGTCACCTGAATAACTTCTGGTTTTTCAGCACCCATAGCATCAAAACCTGACATGTTATTAAAACCATTTTCAACAATTTCTCCTTCTTTCGCACAACTACATTCTTGAGTCTCCACATCTTCAGTCATTTTTGTTTCTTCCATACTAGCTAAAATATCAAACTTATTGAGAATTTTAAGTGAAGGATCAACTCTTGTTTCCTCAACATGGTCTTCCCCTGGAACATCAGCTTGAAGATATACTCCAATATCTTCTTTAGAAGATCCTCGCGGCACAGAACTAATTTTTGGAACAGAAGATTCAACAATCAAACTTATTCCTTCAGGTTCAACAGTTTTCTTTGAATTTGATGGACCAAGTTTTGGAACAAAGATCTTCTTCATCGGAATGGAGAATTTATTAAAGTAACTTCTTCTGTCTGTCAGTCTCTTAGAACTTCTATTGCCATTCCTCACCTGGATCTAGGAATTATTATCCACTTTCCTGCCATCTGCATTCGATTTAGCATCCACCTTTTGAATTCTCGCTTCAGATAAATCAGTTGCATTAGATAGCCCAACAACTACAGCTTTGTCTTTAATAACTTCATTACAGTAAGTCACAAAATGACCAAATTTGACACAATCAGAACAAATTTATGAAAAACCTTCATACTCAACTGTTTGATAGAATTTTACAGCCATTCCTACCACCCAAATCCTATTTGGTAGCTTTGAATCTAAGGGGATGCAAACACATACCCGTGCAAACTCCCTTCTACTCCATTGGAACATATTTCCATCCAGAAGGTAAGGCTTGCCCACCATAGAAGCAATTCTGTAGATGTTTACCTCATCCCAGCACTGATGAGGTAAATTAGGTAGCCTGATCCACACCGGAGTAGAAATGCCTTTGTGAGAATTGGGATTGAAGGAAGCAGACCTTTTATCCAATCCCACCACCTGTCCTCTCACCCACCAAGGGTCACTAGATAAGATGTTATCCACTGCAATAGAATCTTCGAAGGAATATAACATCCAACCACGAACCAATCAAGTTATGTGGAATTTTCCAAAACTATTCCACTGCCTTCTTAAATCCATACTCACCAAATGGAATGGAATGTCTTCCCCAAAAATCTTCACAACTAAAGCTTTCTCCAATCTCCTGGCATTCTCAATTTCTTTCTCAACAAGTAACTTCACTCCCTTACCATCTTCAGATAAAAATGATCCCAACTCCAAGCTATCAACCTTGATGTTCTATTTTTATGCCAAACAGAATGGATCTCCACAATACTTCGAAAGCTCACCGGTTGAGAAGGTTTGTTCAAAACTTCATTATCAGCAATAGGAGCTATGAAAGATCTCTCAGCATCATTCCTTTGCCGAAATTCCTCATCCACCTTATCTTCATTCCTGGATTTAAAATTCAACTGGGGGAAGACACCATGTCATTCTGACTTGGTGAAGAAGGAAATGAAGCATATTTTAAACTAGAAGAGATCCTTGGACCATTCGAAGAAGATGATTCCAAGTTAAGTTTTCCAATCAACTTGTTAACATAAATAGGACTATTAAAGGCTTTCAATTTAATAACACCCTCCTCCTTTAAAATCTCGTTGCCTTTCCCAATCACTGGAACGGGAGAAACTTTCTTTTGCAATAGACCACCCTCATCAATGGTCAAAGGTTTCACTTCTAGAGTTTTGAAATTTTTATTAAAATCTTTAAGAGTTTTTGATCCTCCATTGAAAACCTTTGACAACTTCTTCACCGGGATAGGAAATCCTTTCCTGTAATTTGCCCAGGACTCCGACGATAGGAGCCGATTACGCTCCATCTACTCCTCCCAATGTCACCGGAACGCCGACAGATCGCCGGACCCACCAGCCGCAGAGGTTGTGGCCTATAGAAATCGAACCGAAAAAATGGAAAAGAAATTTGAATTCCCAGAGTTTTTCTCACTAACTTTCTCTCACTAAATATGATTCCTCCTTCAATAATGTAAGATCATTCCTTAAGTATAATATAAAGGGATCATTATATGGCCTCGATAGAAGTATCCAATTTTAAGGAAGAATCAGAAATAGGATGAGCACTCACACAGCTTGTCCCTCACCAGAGTAGAATTACACGCCAGAGGCCTAGATGGAGCACTTTGCTTTACTAGAGTAGAAGGTTGACTCACATATAAGTTAGTCCGCTAAGCACTTGGAGTAGCTCCAAAAGCATCACAAGGATGACCACTAATGGTTTAGTGATCAGTTTGCTACCATCCACCATTACTTGTAACTACCACTTGATTAGGGACCATCATTATGAGCTCTATAATTTTATCTTTATAGTTTGTTTTTATTTGTTCAACAATTTATTTTTAATGCTACTATTTATCGATATATATGTGTAGAACTCCTTTTTGGTGATGTCGAATGGTGGTGTAGGAAGTTATTAGGTGAAATATTTTTCTTTTAGTGTAGTTTGTGTTTTATTTCAATTTTCCACTTTTTTATTATATTTTTAAACTTAATGTTAATTAAAAAATAGAAAAAAGTATAAAAAAAAATTAAAAACTAAAATGATAAGTTTCTCCCAAATTTATAAAGAGATCACATAGTAAAGGTGGGAGCTTATGAGGAAATTAAATTTAACTTGCAATTTCAACTAATACTATTTACCATAAAAAGTAGGGGATATTATTATAATTCAGTAGCTCAACCTTGTATTTTGATGATTATAAAAATTATTGTAGATTATCTACTTATTACAATGCACTAGATTAGATAATTATTTTATTCGCTACTAACCTTTTAGGTAATAGTTTTTTTTTTTTTTTGGTTAAAACTCATGATGGAGCCTACGTGTTAATATAAAAAAATGATTACATAGTCCTTAAGGGAGACGATTAGCTCACTAATGCATGAACAAGCTACAAAAGAAAGTAGAGAAAAACCTAGGAGCAGAAACTCTCCACTAATAAAAAAACCAAATAAACTAGTAACAAGCTATTGATGCTACATATAAGCATCCAAAAAAGAAAAATGTGATGAAAGAGTGGAAGCATGATCTTTCTACAAAAAAATATTGATAGCATCCATAATCAACTTCACCTGTAAAACGAAAAGGCTGCAAAGCAAAAGGATGTGATACAAAGCTTTATAGATAAACTAAGAATAATTGTAAAAATTTAAGTCAAACCCCAGGTTTATATAATAAAAACCACATAATAAAAATTGATCCAAGCCAAGGCACCATAGAAAGCAAAATAGAGGATAAAAACTGATAGAGCTCAAAATATAATAAATATAAAAAGCCTCATGGAGGTAATCCTCAAGCCACTCAATCCTACCCTCAGGAGAAAACACCATCCAGCAAATAATGGGACATGATCAACAAAGCTTAAGGCCACCAACAAAAAAGCACAACACCTCCAGATTATCACAAAAGCTCAGTACAAAGGCAGTCCAGCACATGAGATGAAATAAAGGGACCAAACAGCAAAGCATAAGGCCATTAGCAGAAAAGTCAAACTCCTCCAGAATATCACCAATACCCAACCCGAAGGAACACCAGCACATAAGGTGATATAAAAGACAAGCCAAAATCCCAGAATCATAATGGGTCCACCAAAATATACAGGAAGCCAGTAAACTGAGAGAATATGCAACACAGCTCATAACCCAAACCAAACTCCCACCATTACCCCCAGTTAGCCAAAACTACCACCTTAAGGTAGGAGAGCACAAATGGGAAAACCAATTAGCAACCTCACATGTGTAATCACAGCTCAAGTCTAAATCACCAAGACCATAACTAAAAAGCATAACACAGAAAGATGCCAGTAGAAATTCAAAAATAGAAATAGGAACCTTAAAAGCCCCTAGAAAAACCACAGCCTAGAGCTAGAAAGCCCCCAGCACTGACACAAACCAACCAAAGTAGGAGAGTAATAATTGGTAAAACCATCAACAATATAACCTGCGAAATCTTAGCTCAACTATAAATCCACCAAGACATTAGCTAGAAAGAAAGACATAGATAGATGCTGGTAGCAATTCACTAACAGCCAAACATAATAATACCAAAATAAAAGAAAAAGATCAATACAGCATAAGTAACCCCAAAGAAGGAAGAAGAACCCAATCCAATGCAAAAAACCATCAGTCAAAACTAAAAGAGGTACCACACGCCTCCAAAAAAAACATAAAAGAGTAGCCATAAAGTTAACTCGAGAGGATACAGATCCGCAACCCCACATATTAACCAGCTACCAACAAAAAATATATATATATATAATAAAAGAAAAAAAAAACAATAGAATTAGCCAATATTGAAGCAAAGGAGCCAAAATAGAACAAAGAAACTGCAACACAACCCCACAGCCCCCCACATAGACACACACCCCTCTTGGTTAGCCTATGGCTAGTTCATAAGGGCTTAACAATCCTAATGAACATATGGGCTTAACAACCCTAATGAACTTTCAAGTGGTATAAGAGCGGGATTCATAAAATCAAATTTTATAAAACTTTTAAATTTTGATCCATGGCTAACTTTAGAAATAGAAACACCACAAAAGGCTATTCAAATACTAGACCACCTCATCTTGATAATATACCTTTTGATTTTGAAAAACTCGCATGTCCACCTTTTTGCAATTTATAGATTATCACTTGTGGATACTTATAAAGGAAGGTTATTCTACACCAACACGTGAAATTAATGATATAAAAATTGAACTTCCTTTTTTCGAATGGACTTTTGAAGATAGAGATCTAGCACAACTCATTACAAAATATTTAAACTATTTTTTTGTACACTAAAATTTGAAGATTACATGCGTAT